TTTTATATGGACCATGACCCGTTGTCCGTATACACCTATTATACCTCTCGGCCCGGCAACATTATTTCTATAGTTGTTTGTATGGCTCACTGAAATATTTTTTAACAGCCACGTCGATATTGACACGCAAAACAACATATATATATATAAATATATAGAAATAAGTTTGTACAAACTGCAGGTGGTGACGTTTCCGAAATTAAAAACGCACATTTCTAATCTACGCCACAAGGGCGAAACGCCACCTTCTAAATGAATTAAAATTACGCCATCTAGGAGGGAGATCGAAATGAGTTTTTGTCACATGATTCTAGATAGTTTTTTATATGTTTTGATGCAATAACACCAAAACGGGCTTTGGGTGCTGAACGCCCTTGTTGTTCCCAATGCTTCATTTTGTTTTATAAATTCTATTTCCAAGAATTGTGTGAACCTTTGACGTGGAGGTTTCATCTTTCATATCATAATATAGGTACATGCTGTAATAAGGATTCGAACCGTCGACTACTCTGTTCATAACTGAATCGTAAATAAATACTTAAATTTATATGTATTCAGGAATTTTTAACTAGCATCATAAAATTTGCTTAATCTAGGAACAATCATTTGCGTATTCTTTCACCATGATGCTGACTTTTAAAATGTCGATAATTGTTTCGTGAGTTTATTTTCTTTTTAAATCTAAAATATAATTGATTAATAATAAATTTATTCAGAGAAAAATATACATAATTGCAATGCAAAACTAAATTTTTAAACTAAATTAAGTTCTTAAATACAATAAGGCTGTACAATGTACTCATCAAATAGACCTGCAGCGCCTTTCCCTTTGGCAATGTAGACCCGAGCCAATAATTATAAATTATTATTTATAGTGTAATTTATAATGACTTATAAATTATTTACAAAATAAGCATTAAAGTTTTTATAACAAGTGGTTGCTTGTTATGAAAACTTTTTGGAATTTTGGACGTTTTTAACATCATAATAACAACAACAGAGACCATACGATAACGTTGTACGTGCCAAAGTAAAACAATTTTAAAATAGAACTACGTATGTATTTCGTATTGATGTTAATTAACTGCTAAACGGTGCAAATTACCCTCTAATTATATATATTCACTTTCACGGTGTTCCAAGAATACGCATATCACGGATTCTATTTTTGTCACTATACAATGTATGTAGGTACTAACTCATTATCGCCTTGATAATTATGACTTTATTTGTCTCCCAATATTATAAGGCCATCTGCTAGTCAATCCATGACAATGGAGCGCGGACTCCAGTCTGAAACATCTCAAGAAGGACAAAAACGTTACTGCAACAAGCACATAGAGAAATTTGTAAGGTAGCGCCGGTTTGGCAAGAGACACTGGTTCGAGTTCAGTTGGATCGTAGGGATTTTCCTTTTTTTTAACTTTGTGTCAATAATAGGTAATATCTGAAGAAGAGTAAACAGTGAACTTAATAGAAACCTGTAGGGCTAGCACGATTGTCGCGCCCTATTGTGCTAACCCTACTGGGGGTCTACAATTACTGTCAAATAAGTTATACTCGACCAAATTAAAACACAAGTATGAAGCTTCATTCGCATTATGCGTCTTTTAATATGGTCGAGTATTACTTATTTGACAGTAATCGTTTAGAATGGATGTTGGGCGTGTAACTAGCAGTAATGGTTTAAGGTAGCCACCACATTTGTTAACGTGGAATCGACTAGAGCCGTTCGGAAAAAGCTTTTTGTCCATGCAGTAAAACAACAAAAACGACGTTGTGCGTTATTTTTTCACTCTTATTGATCCGACATTGTAGCGAATCGCAGCAGTCGCTACAAATATTTTTTTTACATATATTTATGTAGTCTTTTTACCAGTTTAGTTTTATAATGAAATTGTAAAGAAGGATGACGACAACCCGTATATTTTGTGATCCAGTGTTTATGACGACGTGCATTAAACATACCTATCAATACATGTGATTCATTATCAAGGCATCAAAAAAGCTAATTGAGTACAACCTGTAGAAGATGTTATGTTTATCATATTGACCTGTATTTCGCTTCAGACGTTTGTTTTCAGTTTCTTCTCAAAAATAAAAAAGATCTTCCCGAATATTCCCAAATCTGCCAAAATCTGCCACATTTAATATAACTTATCGTGTTTTGCAGCAATGAAAATGAATAAAAATTAAACCTGCCCAAATGGTCACACTGTTTTCAATATCAATGTGACATTGACATTGGCAAGAGGTCTCTTATCAAAACGTTCCTTTGCAACTTTCATTATCTCTCATTTAAATGTTGTCTAAATATTTTTGCCACATTGTGTTTTATTTTTTGCTTTATGTCATTACTATTTAATTGATTATTTCATTAGGTATTTTATAGCTTTAATGTTTGTTTATTGTTTGTGTGTCTACTGTAAAATAACCAATACTTCAGGTAGGTAAACATTCAACCATGCTTAAAATGAAACGTACGTACAAGAACGTTAGATTAGGTAACGATCGAACTGAATCAATTGCGTTGGATCTTGCATCTATTCTAAAATACAATGTTTTACATTTTTTTTATTCTCGACTTCTAAAAATATACAAAAATACATTGATTAGTAGGCATAAACTAAAACGCAAAATTATACTAGCCAAGTCCATGAACGGCTCTACGTCGTTATCCTTCTTTAAATGTACTTGTTTTTGACGCCTTTAAAGTAAGTACGTTTCTTTTGATCTTGCTCATTTTTCAATAGCTCCCACCCGAACACCATTCATACAGTCCGCAACCGACTTCCGAGACCGGCGTCTGTTTCGATAAATGCAGGGACTCCCTTATGAACTACCAAAGTCTTATAAACAGAAATCGGATTGGGTAGTATATTTATCTAAACTTCTAGTAATGCACATGGAGCGGATAATACCTCTCTCTAAAGTATCGGAATGATTAAAAATAAACGACAAAAAAACCATAACAAAATATACTTTTCCTCATAATTTTCTTTTAAATATACACTAGATACCATCGTAAAATATTTGCTAGTTGCACCCCAAAAATATAGAACAAATAATATAATAGTCAAATATAAAAATAAAAAATAAATAAATGGTCAAAAACGGTCTCCTCTCACAATGAGAGGGTTTGGGCTTTAGGGCTGCGTGAGGGCGCGTAGGGCTATTGCAGTTTGGGACCTTCACACACATTAAATTGCTTTGCAGATGTCTGCAGGTTTCCTCATAAAGTTTTCCTTAAAAATATAGAACAAAATATAATATAATAAGTCTGAGGTTTCTGAAGGAGATATTATCCACTTCATATGTATACCTTCCTTGAAGTTTATTTACTCTGTCAATTCAGAGCTATGCTTATAATGCGTGTTCTCTCTGTATAAAATTTATTAGCACTTACGTATATTTATGTTTTGATTTGCGATGTCTGTTTGGTAATATTTTCACAATAACTTTACGAAATATTAGCGTGTATTGGTAACCGTACTTTGCATCATAAATATAGTTTTCTGTAACACATACTTCCATAACAGCTCGTTGCTTTATTTTTACAAAATTTCTAGTAGAACTCTCGGCGCTGATTCGGAATCTCTTTAGCCTAGCTTTGTTGTATGCAGGTGCGGTTAGAATGTTCATTATAATTCAGGTTAATAGTGTCAGAAAACATAAAGGAACTCTTTAAATAAGTGATGACCGCAATTCTTCGGTCAAAGCGATTAAAGATAGGCTGAAGTACAGAATCAACGTCAGTCAAGTTAACAAGTCTCATTTGCCTGTAATTTCACCACATCGAGAATATAACCAGAAATAGAGACGAAATGTAATTTCATTTGTTTGAAAACTATTCTGCCATATCATTACTGTGACAACTGCGCTCCGATTGGCTAGCCCGAGTTCGAAACAATTGTCGGGTGTCGTCAATGGGTGTCGTCAACTGTTTCATTTCAAATAGACCAGTTAACTTGAGCTTAGCCATAATGGACGATAATTGCAAAATTACATATTTAATATTTAATTACCGATAAAATGAGATTCCGTTTGTTTTGTAATTAGATGTTTTGCTGTTTTTCCTACATCACCGAATAGAACAGCACGGCATTGTTAGAGATATTATCTTTATTACAATAAATACAGAATATTTTTTGGAATGTACGGAGACATACACACAGGTCAGCAGTTGGCCTGTTTATATTTCAGTGCAAACGAGAGTTGATATTTATAAGAGCTGTATTGCTTATGTGTTACCACGAATATATGGCCCTTATTTCGTCTCTATTTCTGGTTATATACTCGATGTTTCACCAGCACCCTTAAGCGTGACGTACACAGAGAGCGAGGGCGGGTCGGGTCTGGATCGCGGCGGGTCTAATTCCGTGTATTTTTATGGATGACAACACTCCAAGCCTGGGCGCGGAACGGGCATGTGTGCCCGCGGTTGGGTGTGTGCCCGCTCTCATAGTTTCACGCTTTATGCTTTATCAAAGTTGCACAGTACTGCTTTGCGGCAGAAATAGGTAAGGTGGCAGTACTTCCCTGGACGAACTCTATAAATGTAGAAACGTAACTCTTCGTGCGAATCCTTGGAATATTTACAACATGGGGTGCAATCCCAGTCTACGTCTAGTCCCTCGATGATGGAAAGTTGAAGGCGGAATTAAATCATGCAATTCCCTAGGACATCTAAATCTTTCTTTACAGGCCCATGGTCATGGCTGACACTTACGCCCACTGTCCTAGTCGTAGTTAGCTGTGACCATGGGATATGTAAACAGCCCAAAATGTCCGAAGAGTGTTCATGTGTAATGTGTAGTAATAGCGAAAACCTAAGAATTCGACACAACTTAACACGTTCGACTATCCATGATTACTCTGTATTAACCCGGAGGCAAAGGTACCTAATACTTAAGGGTCATATTCACAAAACATGTCAAACGTTATAGTATTTTACACGATAAAAGACAAATGTATTAATGCCATCATCGTCTTTATTCCAGACGTCGCATGCAACAATTAAAACTATGGCAGCAGCGAGAGAAAGAATGGGCACGGTCGAAGACCAAGAGAGAGAAAAGCAACAAACGAAACATCTTCTTCAGCGACAGCGTGATGCTGCTCGAAGCGGCTGCCAGGAACGACATCGAAGAAGGTAATCAACCATCCCCATATGAATTTCAGTTATATATGTATAATTTATAAATTTGGTTTGTAAACCCATCTTTACGGATTTAATTGTTTATAAGTTTGTTAGGCTTTGTAAAATAACTAAAAATATAGTTACAGTAATTGCATACCTATAGTCGGTAGGCGGGTATTCTTTATGATCGCTTTGGGTTAGACATACCTCGGGTAAACTACCCGAGTAAGTTTAGTTAAGTAAGTAAGGTTAAGTTAAGTATTTAAAAGCCCTTAAACATTCCAAAATAGTGACATTATTGTGGTATTTTCAATATAAAAGGAAATTTCCAATGCCTATTCTTGAGTGTATGTCTGATAGAAATCATAAACAATTACTAAATTATTTAAGAACATTATTTAAATTATTTAGAAGACACTGAACGTATTGTGAATCAAAATTTCAACTAAAAACAAAGAATAATTTGTGTTAAAAGATCTGTTTACAAACGTTAATGTTGTTATTACAATGTACCCAAAACTACAAACGAAAGAATTAAATAAGGCAGCTCCATTCGCGCTATTGTTCTAAATGGTATTGCTAAATGTATAGAAATCTTAGACAAAGATACAATTAAAGTTATTTTTAAAAAAGACACACTGTTGACCTCGTTTACGAAATTAAATATGGACATAAAACATTGGCGTAATGCACATTAAATATTTTTAGTTGTACTGTTTGTAATATTATTACATTGGATAAATTAATAAAGTTCTTTACTCAATGAACTCAACATAGCAAACAACAACACAAAGCGTCTATTAGTGATGGCCTTGCGTTATTAGAACTTGTCTTAGGAAAGAAGGAATTTTCTATCATCGTCATGCTTAGTACAGGAAAGCTAGAAGCTATATTATAGGAAGACGTTGATAAAAAAAATGTCTCTTTCTTACGCGGTTCTTGCACCGTGACGGCTGTCTCAACGACGCCCGACTCTACACCTTTAGCATTTGTGTATATTGAGAGAACCGCCTTAGTGACTTACTTACTTTTGTATTATATACGTGTGATATAGCGCTTTCTTTGGTATTTGAGAGTTGTTAACACGAGAAAATCAAATAAGTCCGTTATCAATTTCAATTTAAGGTTTATATTTCTCGAATGTCAAATCTGTTATCGGTATTTTCGGAAACGTGATAAGATTACATTTTCTCGATAGTGTTAAGTATCGAAATAGCCTCTGCATATTGGTTCATCGTTACGCAAATAACTCACATCACAATTAAGTTTTTCTTAAATTTAAAATATACCAATTTTACATTTGTATTTGAAAGTTTTTTTCACTACGATTTATTCCTGTGTAGCACCTTAATTTAGCAACTAGGACACCAAACTAAATTAATAGTTTATCAATGTCACTGAATGAATAACTAACAACACTACATATACAAAGTAATACGACCTACGAGTACTAATACCTTCGTCCTACGTAATCAGATCGAAATTTCAAACAAAGGCGACACCAGTGCCACATCATAGCAGTACAGTCAAACAATCACTTTAACCGTTTGTCGACTTATGATCATATTTTAACGATGAAACATTTACTATTTGCACTATAATTTGTGCAAAAGATTTTATGGATTCCGTGAACGACACATAAATTAATCTCATTTCCTATAAATATCGTAGTTTACTATAGGTAATAACAAATATGTAAAGGCAGAGTATTTGGTCCCTTGTAGTGTTGCGGCATTTTGGAAAACACATTTATTCTACGCACTTCATCATCAATTCATTTACACGTCCCACTGCTAGGCACGGGTCTCAGACGAGGGCTTAGGCCACAATCCGCCTCGCTTCAAATGTTTGCCGAGAGTTGTGAACTTTCGACGTGCAGGTTTCAGGACGATATTTTCCTTCAGGTTACCTATCAGTAGTTCGAAATGACATTTTCTAGAAATAACGTTTGGTCGAAATTTCACAACCTCGAAAGTAATTTTGGGACGAAAATGTTTTTTATTTCAAACCTAACTTAACCTAACCTAATCGTGTTTTTGCGATAAACATTCAACATATCCTGAAATAACTACTGTTTTGTTATAACTCGGTTTTCGGTGTAATGAAAATTCGAACAAACGTTATTTCGGACAAAAAAAATTTCAACTTTGTGATAGGTTACCTTTCCTTCACCGAAAAGCTCATGGTAAATTTTAAATTAAATTGTGCACATAAATTCTTAGAAACTCATAGGATTCCATCTCACGACTGCCCGAGAGGTGGTAGGCCAAACCGTCAGGCTACCACTGCTTTTTATATACTAGACGAACACTGGATGAAAAATAATGAATACTAACAAATTATTGCCTCGTCAAAATGCAACTAGAAAATATAGATCACTAACGTAACATCCACATTGTAATTTCAAAGATTCAAAACAAAACGTACAAGGTTTACCTCCAACATTAATTTTTAAGGCCTCATAAAGTCAAGTACCTACTTAAACTCGACCTGGTTGGTGGATAACAAAAATAACGCTTACGCGCATCTGCATACTGATCCGGTGATCTATCTACAGATTGACACTCCTATATATGAGATAATCACTAGGACATTAGAGTCATAATCCCACTTATGTACTGGCTTCGTTATAATACGTCCTGTTTAAAGTACAAATTAATGTATTATCAAATTTTCTTATGACAACCGGTAGGTTGGTGCAACTCTCTCGTGTATCTTTTTCTTTACCGACAATAAAACTCTATACTGAAAGCATGTGATTACAGGAAGCGGAACTCACCCGTTGCGAAAGATGACTATGCCGCGATATAACTGCCATAGCTCTTTTGTTTTAATATTTCATACCGAGCACACAACACGAGTAGTAATACAAAAGGCTACAGCAGTAACTTTTGTTCGTTTGTTTCCTTCTTTGTGTTTTATGTATACGGTTCTTGTCGTTTAAAAAAAAGAATCGTACAGCGCACCTATGTATTAGACATCTATTAGGCTGTTGACAGATTGACTGCATGTTTGCAGTTAATGCATGAAGTCGTTATCAACTTCATGCAGCTGAGACTTCGACTGCATGAAGTTCGTGCATGAAGTTGATAACGACTTCACGGTTTCGTCTGCATGCAGTTGTATTATATGGACTTCGTTTAGTAGCTTCCTTAATAATAAATTAATAAAATATCTTCTTTAATGCACCAATTACAATGAAAGCATAGCGCAGCGTCGGTTATATGCTGGTCTGGAACCAAAACAAAAACGTAGAAGATGTCGGCTGCTAATCATCCCGCGCAAGGTGTAAAAGTCGACTGAGGGATTGGGTTTAATAGTGTCCTATACGTAGGCGACAGGCTGGCAACCTATCACTATGGCGCACTAGGTTACACAATATTGTATACAATCTTAACCCAGACATTTACCAAATGTGGCTTTAGTTGCACTGTGTCACTTAAAGCTCTGCCTACCCCTATATGTGAACCTAAAGGCGTGAGTATATGTAAGAGTATATAATAATGTATGTGTATATAAAAATAATATCTAAAAGCTAATGTTCAACAGACTGCATTGTTGATAGGTAGCAATTTCTTCAAAGCAAGCTTAATATACAAAATTAGAAAATGTGCGCATTAAGTTTTTGCTGCTATTAGTTTTATCTGTGGTTATAAAGTTGATAGCGGTAAATGATAAAGCCAACACGCAGGGGTTCAAATATTAATGCAGTATAATGGCTACTAATATGTAGCTTGCCAATGTAGACGGCGATGTAGACGCAAGAAGTAGCGAGTATTAAAGATATAAAACTACCAAAAACTGAAAGAATCAATGTAAACACTCTGTCTACTGCGCGGACAGTGGCATAGGTATTCGTCCACGAAGATTAGTCGTAATTATGCAAAATAATGAAATCGTAAGGTGTTAGTGGTACATACAGATAGTATTCGTTTGTCATCAATGCGCGATGACTGTAGTAATGGTCATACTCGTGACCTAATTTTCGGAAGAAAGGTTACGAAATATAACTTTTGTCTTTGTGCACGTGCTAAGCTTCTTTATCATTTCGTCGACTTCGTGTAATAAACGTAAAGATTATATACGTTCCGTGGGACCATAGATTTTATTAGTGATTTATCATATGATGATCTAACATTGCTACTCTATTGTACGTATTAACACACTATCGACGCGAAATCGCGTTTAGCCGATTAGAATGTCCACGTAACAAGAGCGAAAAAGACATTTCGCGGTTTTCGCTTAGAGCGGAAGCGAAATGCCCAACGTCTATTTCACTTTTTTATGGCGATTTCCCTACGCTCCTCAAACTTATCGAGATCGTCCCCGCCGTCGCCCGCCAAATCCCATTTGAGCCTGGCTGTTTTGCTCCCCACATCAGCAATTTCGCTCTTATTGCTTATAAAGCTTTTTGACCGACTCAAGCCGATTCCAAGTTAATAACTGTGGTGGCTTCCTTATATATAGGAGGTAGGCTCCTAGAAACCTAGAATATTACGTTATCTAAATAAAACATAACCATTTTGTTTTGACGTTCCACCATTATATTCATAGGCCGTGGTCTTGACATGGTCTTGACCTATGCACATATAGCTATAAATATGTAAGTCGACCGCGGCCCGCATGTTCGTGGCTTAATGAAAATGACAGCTTGTAAATTACTAAGCAATTGAACGCAATACCACTTTGCCGTTTTATACACACTGTAAAAATAATTAGTATAAGGGGTGTCCATGATCTAAGACACCTTTTTGAATTATTAGTAGGTCAGATCAAGTGGGTATGTACGTCCAAAAACTAAAAAAAGTATAAAGATGTGTGATTCAGAAACCTGTTTTTGGTGTTGGTGGACATCAAGATGTTCATGCTTCATTATCGACTTCAACGAGGTCAAATGCGCACTTATTAAAAAAGGGAGACATAGAAACAAAAGTAGTATAATATAAATATTAGACAACTTCAGATATCTCTGATCCCGAAGTAAGTAACTAAAGCACTTGTGTTAATGGAAT